GACTACGGGAATTGTATTCCCATATTTTGCACGATGTGCGTTTACTATTCGGACATGTGTTGTTTTGCGATATTGATCGTGTGTATTTCCGCTGCGTATTATGGTTAAAAAGTTTTAAAATTCCCGTATTTTTATTTGGTATTATTTTAATTGGTTTTAGTCCATGTGGCGCATCCTGTTCACGGGAAGCGGGATACGGGTGTCACACTTCTGGTGTCTGTGTTTTTTCTGGAATGAGTCCAAACCTTTTTTTGGTCCAATGGTGCTGCCGGATCAACATGGTCAGCCACCAGGTGGCAGACGATCCGGTGCCTGGCACATGCGCCAGTCTCAGGTTAAGTTATGATTATGAGATTCTTGTCATGCTAACATAATGCAGAGACCCTAAGAAAACCTGTTAGTGATTTGATTTCAATCCGGTTTAAGACTCTTAAGCCCTTTTTCCGCTGTCTTCTTGATTTCCAGATGCTCCTGAGGGGGCATAGTTATCGTTACCCACCTGGTAGGGTCATGCCCGACGCATATCATATGATGGGAATGCCCTTTGCCCCAGCCTCTATCAACTGCCGCACTGACTTCTGCTCGAGCTAATGCAACACCTGCCCATCAGAGGACGGTAAGTCTTCCCACAACTTTGCTCATTATAGGTCATCCAGAGAGAGAGACGAAGGCCATGTACTTAACCGAACCGAACTGATCTGAACTGAACTCCTTTAGTGAGGATTTATGCAGCAAAAGTGACTGGGAAAATGCTTCTGGAGATGGGCCAGACAGAGTTGTTGCATCTGATGGAATCACCAGATGCTTTGAAAGCTATGGATGCCCTCATGAACATCCCGAGGACCGATAGGTTTCCATCTCGTTCCATCAATGATGAACAACTATGAATCTGGCTTGGTTTTCATGAGAATCTTTTGCCTGATTGAGAATTTTTTTGAGGGATTTGTTATCGGCAAGTCGGGTCTCCTTAGGGTACATGAATGCTTCGTAGAGTTGCTTAGAATTGAATTGTTTTTTTTTTTTTTTTTGTGTTGATTTCTGTCTCTGGAGATTTTTGGATTTTGCCCGAAATATATAAATATGATTTTGAGTTGAGACTTTGAGAGGGCTTTGAATCGAATAAGGTTTGGTGCCCGAATGTTTTGAGGGATTTGTTTTCGGAATTTTTCTTACAGTAAATTTTTGTGAGAGATATACATCTACATAATAACTATCGCATGAAACCATGAGATTTTTATTTTTTGGAAAAAACATTGAGGAAAAAAAGAAGAAGAAGAAGGGATTTCCATTTCCATGAAATGTCTGGAAGGATTCGTAGGAGCCCCCCCACACCCATTACAATAACGTGAATTATTACAGGGCCGTACAATTTGGTGTGGTTCCATTTGGTACCCACAAAATAAATTTAATTAAAAAGAAAATGAGTCGTCGGTTTCGAAAGATGCTGTGTGGGGAACCATGTCATGTGGGGGTGTGTTACATTCAAAGATTGACATTTTTGGAAAGCCTTTGGACCGCATTCGTATGGACATCGTACCTCGTTTCTCTTTTCCTTTCTATTTTTGTTCTCTCTATCTCTCTCTCTCTCTCATACTAATTTCTCTTAGATTTATTAACCAAAGTCCTTGCCCTTTTTTTATTTTATTTTATGCTCGTTTTGATTATTTTTTTCAAGTGATTTGTTGCATTTTATATTAATTTTATACCTTTTGTCGTATCATAGCATGTGTGTGGCCCAAAATTAGGATGCCTTTTGTTTTTGTTTAAATTAGCAATGTCTAATAAATCTTGTGAAATTTCATTTCACGGACGGGGGGTTGTGGGCCTCCTTTATTATAGACAGAAACTGCGTCTGTTTACATGGTGGGCCTTGGGCTTTCATAATTATTGGCATATACATATACATATACACGTACACATACGCCCTGAAATGTATGTAAAGCTGTACTGTGTCTAGAAGTATATGTACACACAAACATGTATGTATATATGTGTATGGAGAGAGAAGACATAAAAGCAGAAGTTTCCACTTGAGGAACCCAACATAATCAACGAAAGCCATTAATGGAATGTTTGCTAATACATCCCACTCGAAAATACAACGTCCCATACAAGATTAGATCGACCGATAGATGCACCAATTTCATTATTACAAGCATATATATATTATATTATATATATACACATTATAGTATGCCCAAATAAAGACTTAAGAAATCATACTATATACAGTTAAAAATAAATTATTTTGTCTTAACAAGATTAGAGGAGACAAAAAAAAAATTGCAACTCCGTCGAACCACGGAAGTGTGACCGAAAAGTTTGGCAATATTTTAATTCAGAATTACACGTGGTAAAAAGATCATTCAAACTCTGTATTTAATTTTCTAACTAGGGGTTGGTGGAAATTTACATAGCAAGGTGATGACGTGGCGTACTTGGGTTTTAATTGTTCTTTTTTTTTTTTACCTTCTTTCCTCTGACCCCAACATAAACAAAAATATGCTTTGTTTCCCTTTCCGACACGATCCCCTCTTCTTCGAATTTCCTTCTTTTTTTGTATTTTCCTCTCTTTTCTTTTCTTTTCTTTTTTAAATATTATGTTTTTTTATTAAATTGTTTATAATTTAAAATTTAAAAAAAAAAACAAGAAGGGTGATGTGTAAGGATGGTGATTTCTCGAAACATACGAATCTAATATCCGATCTTATTATATACGAAGGTTGAGTTGGCTCCAGCGCTCTTGTCAGAACTCTGCCGTCACCTCGACTCTGGGAGCGTGTATATCACGCGCTGATATTTGATTTTCAAACATACGAATCCAATATCCGATCAAATTGTAGTCCCTAACCTTGCACTGTTAAGACGAATATTATAAATATACTTACGCAATGCCTTTTCATTAATTGTTAAATTCTAAACGAAAGCATTAGAGGGAGAGTTAGTATAAAGAATATATATATTCTTTATAAATATACATATATATGCGCAAGGTTGTATTTTGAATAAAATGCGAAGGAGAGAGAGAGACGAAAGAGGAAATAGGATCCACACTCTTTGTCCGTACTCAATGGATTCATCTTTTATAGTAACATTTTCCTTTTTTCCTTCCATTATTCCCTTTTCCTTTTTATTTTTCTGATGCCTTCGTTGCCCCCCCACGATATGGTCCCATGAGTTGTGTTCTTAGTTACGCATTTTATTTTACACTATATATATGCATGCATATCTTTTTTGGTTAACCATATATAATTGTTACATTTTATATATATATATATATATATTCGAAACCTCTATATATATGACCTATTAGCAGACCAACCATTCCATTTAACATCAATCTTTAGTTGATCTCAAGAATAGAAAAATATCTGGATCTTGTTAACGTTACTTATCAAAAAGAAAATATATTTACAACAGATAAATATTAAAGTATGAGCTTAGCATCCAACAGTTGGTGGTTCAGTGGTTGTGAGGTGACAAAGTCATCTTCAAGATCCTGGGTTCGATTCCACTGGTGGAAAGAATGTAATTTCTGAACTAAAATGGTTCATATATAAAGGCTTATTCCGGATCTAGGATGGATGTAGTCGGACCGAAGGTCCGAGGAACCATCCTGGTTATAAAAAAAAAAAAGCTTAGGTTAAGCAGCCCCTCGGAAAAAAATAGAGAGTAAAATTCGATTTAGACCAAAATACACTCTCTTTAATTTCCCAATTATGTACACACGTATTTCTACTACACAACTATACACACCCACCGCGTGTGAGATTTTTGTATTTTTTATGTTTTTAAGTGTGTGTTTTATTTTTTTTTTTAAATTCCGAGTGAGGAAATATATAAAAAGGACCCGAGTTTACAATAAAATTATAAAACAAATCGAATTTTAAGATAAACAAAATAGCATGATTTTTCTCACATTATGACATCTTTAAAAAAATTGCATATACGTTGCCAAATGATATTTTAGAAAATTTTATTAATAAAAATTAAAAATAGGAATACAAAGTGAACGAGTAAAAAGAAATGAGCTCCTATACGAGGAATAGTTTCGCATATAATCTTTTTTTCCAAAGACAGCAAAGAGGTTAGAGAGAGAGTAAATATTAAAAAAGGAAAGAATAACGAAGAAGAAGAAAGAGAGAGAGAGAGAGAGAGAGAGAGAGAGAGTAGAAGTAAATAGAAAGGAAAGGATAAAAATGAATGCGTTCGTAGAAGCGAACTCTATAATCCATTTGCAACTCGTCTCACATCTCTCTCTCTCTCTCGCTCAAGCTCCCTGCTTTGCTTTTTTCTTTTCCTTTCTTTTCTTTTCTACCAACCAGGCTCTGGTTCTTCTTCTTGTTTAGCTTCTAACCTCGTGGAGAATCAAACCAGAGAGGATTCGAACCTCTGAAGCACAGATCAATCAAAAACCCTACAACCCCCAAAAAATGTGGGATCTTAATGATTCTCCTCATCCATCGCAAACCGCTGATGAATCCGACGGATTCTGCTCGTCCTCGCCGGGCAAACGGGTCGGATCCTTCTCCAATTCCAGCTCCTCCGCCGTCGTCGTAGAAGACGGATCCGACGAGGAAGACGCTAACCGGGTCAGAACGGAACCTCCCGGTAACCGGATTTTCGGGTTCCACGTGGACGTCGCCGACCCGCCGGTGACCCGACAGTTCTTTCCGGAGGCGGAAGGGAGCGGAGGACCGGGTTTCCCGCGGGCGCACTGGTTCGGGGTGAAGTTCTGTCAGTCGGATCTAACCGGTTCGGCTAAACCGGCCGAAATGGCTCAGCCGCTGAAGAAGAGCCGTCGTGGGCCCCGGTCCAGGAGCTCTCAGTACCGGGGTGTCACCTTTTACCGGCGAACCGGGAGATGGGAATCTCATATTTGGTGATTTTTTCGCTTATTTTTCTGCACACACACATATATATATATATATATTGTATAATTAATCATCGGCTAATATCATATAGGATCAGACAGGAGTTCTTAATTGTTGTTGTTGTTGTTGTTTTGTTGGAATCTGGAATTTTCAGGGACTGTGGGAAACAGGTTTACCTAGGTGAAACACTTTCTCTCCCCTTTTTTTTTTTAATTTACTGGGGGAAAAGCTTTTTGGGTTTCATTTTTGTTCATTTGGTGGTTTAAAGAATTGTTTTTTTTTTTGTTAAAAAGATTGAATATTTTCCTTTATGCGTACTCTCAATAGGTGGATTTGACACTGCTCATGCAGCTGCTCGGTATGCCACTTCGCTTCTAAAATTCCTGGCTTTCCATTTTCGAAAATATCCATAAAACAGAAGATAGAAGAGAATATTTGTTTTTTTATTTATTTATTGCAGGGCATACGATAGAGCAGCTATCAAGTTTCGCGGAGTAGAAGCTGATATAAACTTCAACATCGAAGCTTACGAGGATGACTTGAAGCAGGTGACGGTGCAAAAACAAACAATTTAAATAAATAAACAAACAAACCCTAGCTCTTGTAACCATCATCATCATCAACTGATTAGTAGATGGATACAGATGGGCAACCTAACGAAGGAGGAGTTCGTGCACGTACTCCGCCGACAAAGCACTGGCTTTCCTCGTGGAAGCTCCAAATACAGAGGAGTCTCTTTGCACAAGTGTGGTCGTTGGGAGGCTCGAATGGGCCAGTTCTTGGGCAAAAAGTACGAATCTTTACTCAAATTTCGATCCTCTAATCACTTGTCTCTGTTTTTTTTTGCCCAGTTTGTTTTTTTTTCCATAGGTACGTTTATCTGGGCTTGTTCGACACCGAGATTGAAGCTGCTAGGTATTAAATATCGTGTCTTAATTTCATTTGCTTTTGTTATAGAAATGATTTCATGAGATTCCTAAATCGATCATTCAGGGCTTACGACAAAGCTGCGATAAAGTGCAATGGGAAAGAGGCCGTCACCAACTTTGATCCAAGCATCTACGACGAGGAGTTCAACGCCGGTAAATTCGATTTTTAATTACTCATGACTATCGCCCGTTTCTTGATAATTCTATTTCGTTTTTTATTTGATTTTTTATATATATATAAATGTTGTAGAAACGTCGGGTAATAATGAAAAGGATCACAACCTCGATTTGAGTTTGGGAAGTTGTGCGAATTCCAAGCAAAAGGGTCAAGAATTGCGGCCTAAGGTTTTCGTTAATTTAAAATTAAATATATGTGTGACCAATCAATGCTTACTTCTATTTATGTCCACTAATTAATTGAATTAATCTTCATTTTTCGCATAATTTTGAATTTCCCAGATGAGCAAGCAGCAAGAACAATACAGATTAGGTTACACCGGAATGCTTAATCTCATTCCTCAAGCGGCAAATCACCAAGTGGGTAACCCAAAAAAAAGGAACTTTTATATATAACAAATGTCCATAATAAAATTAATAAATTTTTTTATTATACGGAACGTTAAGCATTGACCGTAGAATACTGATTTTTTGCCCATTAAGATATTCTCTAGTTTTTTTTTTTCTTTCCTGAGAAAATATTCTGGGGTGTTGGGTTTCAGTTTCCGGGCAGCAGCAACACTGGCAGCGGCGGCGCCGGAGAATTCTCGCGTTTTCCGGCGACGGCGAACGATCACCGGTTTGATCGGACGAACCAAGTGTATGCAAATGCTGCAGCATCATCAGGATTCTCTCCTCACCATCATCATCATCATCATCATCAGATTTTTACTTCACATCAAAATTGGCAGCAGAGCAATGGGTTCCATTCCTCTCTCATGAAACCTTGATCTTCTTCTCTTTCTTTTTTTCTTTTGATATGTTATATAATTTTTTTTTGGAAATGAAGAGAAACCCTAAGCCTTGATCACCCACATATCTATCTACGGCAATTAATATTTTTCGTAAATGTATTAATTTCGGTCTTTTCCTCTTTTTTTTTTTTTGGTTGGTTTTTGCAAAACCCCTTTTATTCAACCTTATATATTTTCTCTAGAGAGAGGGAATATTTTTCTTGTGATAAGCGGCGTTGATTGGCTGGCGGCTGGGGAGACAAATATTAGAAGGACGATATTTTTATTTTGTTTGTAGATTTTGTTTAAAATTAATTGCTGTTAATTATGAATATAAATATATGTTTTACATCTTTTAATGGATAAATCTGATTTAGCCGTTCTGACTAAAAGCGTGCTTCAGTTTGCTTGTCAATGTGTTGTCTTTTTGTTGTTTCTATTACATTACTGCTTTATATGTTACCTGCACCTATGTTCAGGTCTATCTTTGTTTAATTATTCCTTTTCATAAAATTAGTTTTTTATTTTATTTTTTTTATAAAATAAAATATTCTTCTGTTGCTTCACCCAATTGCATATACTCAGTGATAATATCTGTGTTACCACTCGAGCAAAATTTCATGAGAATTTTGTTTTTGACGTTCCATCGGGTTGGTGATGAATTCATGGAAATCATAAATGAAGAATGGACCGTAGCATTTATACAACTGTGGCATTTCAAACGAAATTAAGCTCTATTTGTCTCAAAATGTGAAGAATGATAAAACATCTATTTGGAAACAAAACATTGATGATATTTATAAAATGCGAAAATTCCAAACAAAATATCAGAATCTGTCACCTTTTAAAAATAAAACTTAAAATTTGTTTTTTGTCAAATGAAATTTCAATTTTATTGTTTAATCGAAAACAAATTTGAATTTTATAATTGTTATCATTTTTTAATCTAAATATTATTATTGGTGTATGGATATCCTATATGATAAATTAACACTTTATTCATATTTGACACATTATTATCTATATGTCTCGATATCAATATACGTGTTTAAAAATGACAACTGTTATAAAATTTAGATTTATTTATAACATATAAATTAAATTAAATTTTATTTGATAAAAAATAAATTTAAAGTTTTATTTTATAAAAATTGATAAACTTAGATTTTTTTTTTCGAGGTTTTCTCTTATGGAATTGAAAGTATCTTGGAAATATAAATAAATATACACAGAATATTGGGGAGGAATGGTCACTTTCAAGCAATGTCCTCATGAATCAGTCTCCCACACACAGAAACCTAAAAAAGGAGTCAGACGTTGCGATAATGGCGAGTGAGACCTCTCTCTCTCTCTCTCTCTCTCTCTCTCCCTCTCTTTCC